TTTTCTTTTTTTTTTGTATGATTGTGTTGTTTTGATGGTTAAACTAGCCTCAGCTAGGAAGAGCTCAGTGTGATGGAGCCAAAATCTCAAAATGTGCTTTGATGTGTCAGATTGGTACTTCATCATTTTCACTAATCGTATGAAAACTGATTCTAAACTTGAAACTTGCATCAAACATTAAAAGACACATTAAAGAGGTACAAATGATTATGTGTGTTTTTGCCAGGTGTCCCTTTAGTTGATAACAATCATATTTTTAAAAAGTGCATGTCTACTTTGTGGTCCAAGGGTTTAAAGTTTCGATAATATCTGTCTGCTGGGGGTTTGATTAGGTCAGACAGAGATATTACAAGAATTTGAAAAGAAAACCAGAAGTAATTTTGAAAATGTCATTACTTTATACATATCTCTGGGACCCCAAACGTAAAGAAAGCAGATCAATCTCAGCCGAGTGTAATGGCCTGTAATTGGCCTGCATCAGTCTAGAGGACGGCCCGTCACTCGTAAAGTCTTTCCTCCCCGATTCATCCTGCCCTGTGTACCCTGTGACCGCCTGCCTTTCTCTTTGATGTCTGCAGTACTGCTGTGGAGGCGTTGCCAAGGAAACGCAGTATCTGGCTGGCAGCGTGCTGGAGTTATTGAACCACAACTGGCTTTTTGCTTTAGAGGATAATTAGCTTCTGTCTCACAGGTTTCTCTCAGCCGATGGGACTCCAGTGGACCCCGCGGCTGCTCTGAGCGTCTTCCTCCAGTCAGAGCTTTTAACCCATCGGATGGCGGTTAGCGGTGGCCGCAGGTGCTCCCGTTACCTGCACGAAAAGCTACGTGAGCACCCCAGAAATCCTCAAACACTCTCACACACACACACACAACCCAGACATCTTTTTGTTCTTCAACATACAGTGAGCTCTGGCAGAGATATAAACCTGTCTGTATCCTAAAATGCACTCTCTCTCTCACAAAAAAACAATCCCTGTTGTGAATGAGTGTGCAAAATAATACAGATTTACAGATTTAATACAGACTTCTTTTTAGGTGCAGATGTTATTTTCATCTTGCAGGTAACTTGCAGATTAACTTGATATTGTTACACGCATTCTTACTATTTACTAGGATATGGCATAAAATAATACCATTATTCAAAACCTGCTCAATGCACATCAAAAAAATTATTTTCATTATATTTGCCTTATTTTACCTTTTAAAAAAATCAAAACAAGATAAATGTACTTATAAGCAGACATTTCAGCAAAGTTATCTTTAAGTTGTTGGCAATTTTCAATATAATTAAATGTTTTATTTTATATATTTATATATATAAATACACACACATGCATGTATATATTTCAGAAAAATAAGATGTTTATATATTAAATATATGTATAATATAATTTATATGAATATAAATATGTACATGTAAATAAATGTAAATATTTTCAAAATATATACTGTATATATACATAATAAATATACACAGTACACACATATATTATGTAAACAAAAGCGTTTCTTGTCCGTTTTTTGCAGTAAGTTTATGTTTTTACTGGAAAACAAGATGAATGTACTGATTAAAAATAAATATTTTTTCTCAATCTCAAACCCAAAGAAATGAAGCAGTGTGTGTGTATAAGTTTGCAGTAGCAGTTTCAGCAGGTGAGTCTGACACACAAACACACTCCCGCATTAAAGGCAGAGTAAGTGATTTCTGGTAGCCAATGTTGATATTTGAAATCACCAAAACAAACACGCCCCTACCCCAAAAGGGTCTTGCCCCTATTTTGATAGCTCCGCCCCACATATACGTCCGCAACCCAGCCAACGATTAGTTCTGTGAAACTAA